AATCTTCCCTGCAATGTAGCTTTTTCTCCAACCTGAGGCTGGGTAAAGCATTCTGTGCCCCAAGGTTCCCTGCACATGTGCCATAACAGCACTTGTCACAGTCTATTGTATTTATTTATAAGTTCCCTCCACCCTGTCCCACTCTCACCAAAACTGTAAAATCATTAAAGAAAAAAACAATCCTTTGTCTTCAGGACCTAGCACAATTCCCAGCACATAGAAGGTCCTCAACAAATATTCGCTGATTTAATGAAGCTGAGCTCTATTCACCCAGAACCAATGGCTTTGACATTTGTTTACAATTAGTTTTACTGTCTCTTCTTGGAGTCTTTTCTCAGTTTAAAATGATCCTTTGTCCAGCCACAGTGGCACAGGTGGTGGGGCACTGCTTTTCAATGTGGAGCAACAAGGAAGGCCCAGATTCAGATCCAGAACCAACCTAGACCTTCTAGAACATGTCTGTAATCCTCACTAACTAGGAGGCTGGGGTGGAGGGATCATGGCATGGTGAGACTCTGTCAAAAAACCTCTCCATCTCCCTCTCCCTCATTAAGGAAAAAAAAAAAAGGGTGCTTTGAGTTTGGGAGGAGCTAGAGACTTACCTTATAAATCTTTCTCTAATAATCATCTCTTAATTTAAAAAAAATTTTCCAGGGCATGTGAACTTGCCAGAGAGAGTGGAAAGAAAGCACTCCCAACGGAATGTGGTAACACCATGATCTCTTCTCTACCCTTTTGGGATTTGGGGCACACACATGTATCCGGCATATTTTTTTGAGCCACCAGGTCTGGATTCAAACCATTGTCAGCCATGTAGGATTTGCCTCCTTTAACCATTAGGTCATAAAGCCAGCCCAGTAATCTTTCATTTTACATGTGGTTAACTTATACATTTAAAAAGATAAAGTGGTGAAGAAATTTAAAATCTTTTCATAACTAGAACAACGTCATGATGTGTGGCTATGTATGAGGAATTGGAAACAAGAGACCTCCTCACTGACTAGAGAAGGTAGGATTGATCAAGAACAATTAAGGCAGCTGTCTCAGTTAAGATGAGGGTTGATGAAATGTTTTCTCTTTGGCATCAATCAGAATTTTAATGAATTCCTTACTACTTTGAGGAATAGGATCTAAGATGGTCTTGTTTGGCCCTAGAGCCTCACTTCTTCATTCATTCCTTCTGCTCCAAAGATCAGCCCTCCGGGAAGTGTCATCTAGACTATAAAGAAACATTAATTTACTCTGTTTGGTTTTTGTCACATTCCCCTGTGGGAGATAGCTAATCTCCCTGGGAAGTTTTCAGACTCTAAAATGTACGACAAAGGTCAGTGCCATCTTGAAAGGTCCTAGGGCTTGTGCCAGAGTAGGGCAGGACAGGAGGATGTTGTGACCAGTCAAATAACAGAGAAAAGAGCTAAAAATGAAAATCAGAGAGTGCAGAGGACCAATATGGCTGATTTCCCATTCTTGTCAAGCCAGCTTTGCCTTACAAGTTTTGCTATATTTGTAAT